GGATTTTTTTTTTTTTTTTGTACTGGGGATCAAACTTGGCACTTTATGCTTGCGAGGCAGACGGCAGCACCATTGAGCTAAATCCCCAGCCCAACAAGTAGATTCTTTATAACCGTTGGGAGTTATATTTCCCTTATTTGGCTTACTTACATTATTTGGATTACTTGGTACCCTATACCATTTGGAGGTCTTCCACCGCGATAACTGGATAGAGGTAAGAGTTTTCTTTCGTTTCATTGATTGTAATGTTCTGTTTCATAGATTCTGGTTCTTGTTTCATAGGTTCTAACTTTTTATTTCATAGATTCTGGTCTATAGTTTGCTTAGGTATTATCTTAAATTTTGTGTCTTATGCCTTGCAATTTTGTATGCATTGTCTTTTGATAAAGTTATATTTTATTCCTGTTTTGTATTTGTTGCATTTGGGCTTAGTTGCTGAAGTTGCATTCCTTTGTTTTGTTAGACCACAGCACTAGAGAAAAGTAGTGCTAGCGTGCCACCTAGCAGATTTTAACAGCAACTACAAATAAATTTAGAAAATGCTGTAAAATGGGTCTTCTTTAATGAAATCATCTCAGATAAAGACAGTTCAGGCTTTTAGCTGTCTCTTACAGAAAGCTAAAACCTACAGTGGCTACTCTGCCGGGTAGCAATTGCCCTTGGCCAGCTGCCCCTCTCAAAGCAGAGGACGGGTTTCTCCAGTTGCCCTGTGGTGAGTCCCCACTCCCACTGATGCCAACGGTGAGTGGAATGTTGGCCAGACGGGCAGCTGGGTTCCTTTCTAGAGACAGATCTCTGACTGCGTGGAACTAGTGAAAACTGCGGGGCCAGGCCAGGGCTACTCTGGCAGAGACCCAAAGGCCCCTCCGTGGAAGCTTGGTCCCTGTAGCCCTATCGGGGTAACCAGCAGAAATCTCCACGTATCCATCATCCCTACTCGCACTCCTCGATGAGGTGAACGGGAACTGTCAGTAATCATCAGGTGTCCTCTGTCTCAGAGTGAGACGAAACGATGCTGTCTGAGCCCTTTCTTAAGTCTCCATTAAGAGTTGAGCTACAGCTTTGGATTGCTCTCTCTCTCTCTCTCTCTCTCTCTCTGCTAGTCAGGTAGAATCCTGGGCAAACACAGAAAACAAATCTTTACTAGATTAGAAACTTCCCCAATCTTCTCTTTCGTCTCCTGGGTCTGGTTTTCATCATTTATGTGTGTAGGGGAGGAAAATACTTCTGCTAGTAAGTTGTGGACCTTGAAACTTATTGTAGACTTATAAAATGCTACATAATGATTTGGGGGGTATTTAGGCAGCTTAGGCTTTTCTTTGGACTTTTTCTCTCTGCTAGTGAGTTAGAAACTTCCCTTAAACTTTCTTCCAACTCCTTGGGCATTGACTTTACAACCTCTTGTAATCAGACCATCCCTCCTTCCAGGAAGTCAGCCTAAGGCTATTTACAACAATTGTTTTGTTTTACACAGAGGCAAGTAGCAATCAGCTAGTGATTTATACTTGTGTTTTTTAATATGCTAACTAGAATAAAAAAGGATTTTAGTTCGCCTTTCTCTTCTTTTCATGTGCACATAGGAAACTTATAGATGTGCCTTTACTAACTTGTGAATTGTGGTTGCAAGGCAAAGTTTAACCCTTGACTTTCAGATACTTAGTGATTTTTTAAATGTAGCCTTGTGTTGCTGCTAAGGAAGGTTGTCTAGGTGAGTAGATAGGAAACAGAAATGTCTTGGAGGCTTCTCTGCCTGAGGACCCAGGGCAGAATTCCCCTGAGCTATATACTTGACTCAGTCCCTAGAGGGGATTTCTCTTATAGGCTAAAAAGTGCTCTCATTTGCCCATTGATCTACTCTCCCCACTCTCTTTCAAAGAACTAGAAAGCAGTGGTTTAGATCTCTTGATTACTGGTCTTGCTGGCAATGCTTCCTTCTTTAAACATGGCTGTTACAACTGGAATCAATTGTGGTTTGCATCTTTAGAAACATCTTCTAGAACTAGGAGTATATGTTTCCTGGGGAAGATGGTGCTGTGAGCTGGTAAAGGGTAGTTATTCCAGCCCAGTCTGTCTTCTGGTTTCCTCCAGACGGTGGCCACATGCCTGCAATGAGTCACCTCAGGGACACCTTGAGGACATATGAATCATGTAGAAAGTTAAAGGGACACTGATTTGCTCCTCTGGCTTCAGGTGGGTAACTCAATTTCTGAACTTCTTACTCCTCGGAATGTATTCTTAATCCCTGGAAAATGTTCCACTCCCATATACTGAGAAAGAGCGGTTCGGCATTTTTCTGCCTCTGTGCATGGCCCGCCTGCCCGCTACAGCCAAAAGAGAATGCAGAGAGAAGTGCTGATGCTGCTGCTTAGAAAGGCACTGTAAGAAAGGGGGAAATGGTCAGAAGAGTCTTATGCACAGACTTTCTTTGTGTTAAGAAATGAGCCGCAGGAAAGCCAGACACCTCTGGCCCCATCACTGAGGTTTCCTGCTCTTGCCTTTTGGAACCTTGAGGTGAGGTTTCCAAGACAACCCTTACTGAAGCCTCACCTAACACTGCTGAGTTTGAGGCTTTCCCTCCTTGTCCTCTGGAGCCTGAGATCCCTCCTCCTTATCCTTTAGGGTCTAGGGGTGAGGCTTCAGGGCCAGTCATATTTAAACCCTCCACAGAATCATATCCATCCTTAGCTAATTCTGTTCAAGCCCCTCCAGGAAAATATCCCTTCTGGGAAATAAACAGTGAATCCAGACATGCTCATGTTCACGTGTCCTTTTCTCTCAGTGACCTCAAACAGATCAAA